CCTGTTTATATTTCTGCTGTATATTATATAACTGCACAGGTTTATCTGGAGTCTGGTCCTAGCGTCGTCACTACCTCGCCGGGGTTAGACCAGGCGCTTACCAACACATGATGTCGGTTGTGCTGTTACTACACTCTGCACTCTGTGCAGATACCGGAGTAGCCTTTGGTCAGCAGCAGTAGCTCGGGAGCCAGCCTTCAGTCCACCGAGACACCGAGGTAGTCTTGCAGGCGTCCGCAGGCCCATCGTCTCCTCTATCTTATTTCATATTCTGTTATCTCATGTATTCGAGACAAATAGTGCTATATTTCTTTCAAACGGTTGTATTTAGTACTCTTAGTAGTCCGTGGATGTTGTGACACCAGGTTCTGGTTAGAGGCACGTGATGGTCTTTGAGACATTTTCGTTTTCTATTTATTTAAGACTTCTCCGCTGTTATTTAACGGTTTATTTCCTTGTTATTATAATTGGTAATCCGGGGTCGTGACAAGAAAAGAATGTATCTCCTGTCCTGATAACATGTGAATGCATATCTAAAAATAATAATGTTTTGAATATTGTCATGGTTTACGAGGATAATTACTTCATGAACAACATCAACCTCCTCTAGACTCTAATAAAAGGGAAAAAGAATAACATGTTTCATGTGACACATTTATTCGTAGTTACATAGATATACATATCATGAGAATGCACTGTCTGGAATATAAGCTGCATATGTTTTACCTGCACTAAGACAGAAATAACCCATATATTATCTCCTATGCAAATTTTCATTTCAATAAAGAATGCTCCCCTTATTATTGTCTCCTTCAAATTTGCAGCTTCATGCGGAAACTGGGAAAGGTCAGTTTGAAATCGTCCTGGGATATGCGGAGGCTGGTACAGCAATTGCTAGCTTAATTTATGCACGTGAAGTCATCAGATCAGTTGCAAGGCAACACGGGCTGCTGGCAACTTTTGTTCCAAAGTAGGTAGCAGAATTGCCAACAACACTTTTAGGTGCGATTCCCTTTCTAGATTTAAGTTGTATGCACTGATGATGAAAAGTATAATGAGTTTTACACAATCGTATCACTTAAAAGTTATTAATAATTAATTTGCAATAATAAGTACTGATTGATAACCCAAAATATGGTAAATTAGCTATCTGCTATAACCGGTTCAATTACACCAATAGTGCATAAGTGCTACCATGAGTGTGTAATTTAAATCTTTGTTTTAGTTGTTGATCCAGACATGCTTTTGCTTCTTATTGAGTGCTACCACTATAGTGCTTCTACTTCTGCTTTTATATTTTTCTTTATTAGGTGGAGGTGTTATATATGATCTTTTTACTAAGAAACATGAGTAAGATTAATACCTTATTTTTCATACTTTTCCATTTCTTACTTTGATTTGTGCATGTGTGCAATATTTGTTAGGGTGATTACTGATGTTTCTTTACTTTATTGACTGACCAAGTGTTGTGAGCTAGTGAAATATTGTTCATCAAGAATGGTGCACAGTTGACAAACTTTTACTGTAGCCAGTTGGTGGATGTTTGCTTGTTTTAAGATTGACATGTTTTCAGGATTGTTTAAGAACAATGGATTTTCGATTAAGTGGTGAAGTTGAGATTATTCCCATTCTCGCTTTCTGATAAAGCAAGAAATGTGGTTGAAGTCTTAACTTGCTGGTTCTATCACCTTGTGTTGGCTTTTAAGCACTTGGTCTCCCTTATCATAATCTTTTGTAACTCATGCCAAAATACTCAACTTTTGAAGCAGTTACTTTTTTGCATGTTTTTCTGCAGTTGAAAATTATTCACACTGCAGTTGTTTTTATCATTCATAGTAATTTTCTTGCCATTATGCCTTTTAACACGTACCTTACTTGATTCCAATTAAAATCTACTAACAATTCCATCATTCTTCTTTCCTTCACAACCCTTTAAACCCCATAGTGAAAGAAGTTTGTGATTAGGAAGAGCTATATCAATATTGAGAAATGGAAAAAGAACATATATCTTTGACTTTGATACTAAATAAAGATGGAAATGTTTCTCAACTAGAGAAGGCGAGATAACATACAGGCGATACTATGTAGTTTACTCTTTTTGGAGAAGGTTCATAACGTTATATGCATGATGTTATTTTTTCTCAAATAATTGAGCAAAAAGGATAAGTGGTGGTCTTTCTGCATTATTTGCTGAATTTACTTCTCTACCATAGATTTTCCTTACTTTTGATTAACTTCTCAAGTACACAGCACTCATATACTTTCTTTTGGAGATTTCTAGCAAGGCCCCATTTCCAGAATTTCTACTGCAGGAAATTATTGCTAGTGAATGATGCCTCCCAGTATGTGACATTTTGGCCCTCTTTGTCTAGGTTTGCAGAAGATGAAGATGGCTCTGGATCACATGTTCATATCAGTTTGTCTAGAAACGGAGACAATGTTTTTATTGCATCTGGTGAATCAAAATATGGGATGTCCAAGATTGGGGAAGCGTTCATGGCTGGGGTGTTAAATCATCTTCCTGCCAGCTTTTACTGCAACACATCCTCTTAGGTTAGAGATTATCTATAATTCTTGGTGTCCTCTTCTTTTCCATTAGTGGTGTCAAAATTTACTCAATTGGATTGAAAATATTTTTCTTAGCGGGTCAATTTAGGCACAATCCAAACCAATCCATCTAAAGTTTGGGTCAATTTATGTTATATAGGTAACCCGAATTGACCCGTAAGAAAACTTGTCAAGGCATAGAAAAAGAAAGGTCTTTTGGTTCGGTTTGTTAGATACATAATAAAGGGAAAAAAACATATTTTTCTCTCTTTATTTAGTTGGGCAATAAAATGAATTATAGTAAACAAACATATTAAAATAGTTGGTGTTGGGTGGGTTGGATTATGACCCCATATACTTGGTCCAAATTGATCCAACACATCTTTATCCAATCAAACTTTGGTCGGGCTATGACTCGACCTGTTTATTGATTTAATCCATTTTAACCTGTCCAACTTTAGCCCAAACCACACATTTGATACCTCTAGTTTGTATATTGGTGATCAGTTACTTGGTGATTGCTTTATGCTTTCATAGGAATACTATTTCTTTGAAATGAGCATAGTTTTATTATGGAAAATTCTCTTTACGTTGTGACAAATCCACGACACCCTTGGCTGTTATAGCAACTATACTGCTTCCTTTTTCATTTTTATTTCTTTTGTCAGCATTAATGGAAACCTTGAAAATTGTAGCATCTCTATGAAAATTGCAATAAGCTGATTAATTAAGTTCTTGTCAATGGTTCTTCTGTTATGAAAATTCAATTGTTTTGATTCAATGTTTAAATTGTGAACAATTTTCCCTAAATTTTGTTTACTAATGCAGATATGTTTGAAGTTATGGTATCAATAATTAAATGTTACATGATGAAGGCTTATAGGTTCTTGAAGACTTAAAACATGATAGAGTAAGTGAAATAATTTCATGAAATTATACTTAATGGAATCTCTATTTCCTTTATAAAGATGTACAATATTTTTTCTTCCACTACTATATTCTGAAGATGAAAGTTGTATTTATATTTATACTATTATCACTCCGGGCTTCCAAATAGACATGTTTCTAGTTAAAATCACTAAAACAATAAGATAATTTGTCTTGTCAGAATTTTTAAAAAGTTTGTAATAAGACTTTAAGGTGTTAGTTGTTTGAACGAGGTATTTTGTATAATATACTTTATTTCCTGAAAGTCTTCAAGTAAAAGTTACCTTTATAAGATTAAACTTTTGTTTCCAAGAGAGAACTTTTTGGAATACACTTTAAAATGCTTAGAGCTTAAAGCAAGCAAATGGTAGAGGTATAAAAATTAGTTCCATTTCTAATTTTCACTAGGGTTATTGTAGAAAGGTTTAACAATTAAGATACTTGTTGGTTTAATTTTTTAAGTGCACAAAAACTTAAATATCACAGTTAAGGAGAATCACCAATTTTGGCACTATGTTAATACTATAAATTTCTTTTAATGGAGCGGTACCAAGTAATTAGAGAAACTTTCCATTTCTGAATTTCCTATTTTGATGCAATATGATATGCCTACTTTTTGCCTTTCCCATTTTCTCTCTTGAATGTAGTTAGACCTTGAAATCTCTTGTTTTTCTCAAACCTCTTGGTGAGTCTATGTTAAGGACTTATTTCATGCATATTAATAGAAAATAATTTCGTAGTATCTAATTGTTGTATGAGTCTAACTATTTATTACATGCAGTTATGAGCGAATGCTACCTAAGACGCGAAATGCAGCTTACCTCTGCTGGGGGAAAGAAAATACAGAGGCACCATTGAGATCTGCTAGCTCTCCTGGAATTGCAGATGATCTTGTAAGCCATTTTGAAATTAAAGCATTTGATGCATGTGCAAACCCATACCTGGGTCTTGCTTCTATAACTATGGCTGGGATTGACGGCTTGCGAAAAGATTTAAGTCTTCCGGAACCTATAGGTAAGTTAAACAATCTTTTAGTATTTCCTCTACCGTATCTTCTAACTGTGTACTTGCCTTTTAGATTCTTTTCCGTATGCTATATGGTTAAGCCTGAAACACCTATTATATCTGTTATGATGGTTCAACATGAGAGGGCTAATCCAGAGGCGTATCCAGGATTTCACGAGAATTGGTGCACCCAGGGCGAAGCTATGTACGACGAACTGACCATCGTTCGCCGAAAAATTATACAATGTATAGGGTAAACTATTACTTGTTTTTTAAAAAAAAATAGACTTTGAACACCCTTGCATAGCCCACTGGAAAAGGATGTTAAACATTTGAACACCATTATTGAATTTTCTGGCTTCATGAACGTTATTTTTTTCAACCCAACTTCATAAATCAAAGAAAAAAGATAAAGAAACAAAAGAAGAAGTGAGATTGATAAAGAAACTGGAAAAATATGTGACTTTTGTTTGTAGAAAAGTTGGTATTTTGCTGATTTGCAGAAGACTTAGAGCGCCAGAGAGTTTTGTGTGGAGAGGTATTTTTAATTTAGGGATTTTGAAAGTATAACTGAAAGACTAAGAAGCAGTTATGTAGTAATAAAGAGAGGAAAAGAAAAAAAGAACGTGTGTGCTAAAGAGCATGGGAAACTTTAAACTGCGGGCCCAGGAGCATGGGTATGTAGCCAATTTATTAATTAAAAAGTGAAATAATGGATAATTTTAAAAAGGGTATTGCGGGGATTCGAACCACCTACCCGGTGGATGGAAGGTGCACTTCTCTACCAGTGCATTACAATGTTCACTTGAGTATGGGTTCACCTATACAAATTCAAGTATTTTGTGCTGAAATTTATTGGTGCTATACAAGGTTTAGGGAAAGGAGGATGGGTTCACGTGAACCACCCCCTCCCATGTAAATCCGCCCCTGGGCTAATCAGCATGACTTTTTTTATGTTATATATTTCTATCATATTATGTCAACTCAATCAAGATTTGAAGTGTGCTGCATGTCCAATGTAGTATATCAGTAGTCTGTACCAAAATTTCGCAATTTAAATCTTCCTATCTCTATTGCTTTTACCTTTTGGATGACTCTAGTGTATCGCTGCTGTATGTATCTTCTTCTAAATGAAAGCAGATGAGATTGTGAGTACTGAGTAGAAACCATGTGAATCAAGATGGTACCTACTTCTACTGTCTTTGGATCTTCTCTCCACGATAAGTTGCTGTAGCAGGTGGTGTTAGTATGAGCTACCTTCAAAGTATTGGAGTATTCACTTACTTACAGGCAACAAAAGTAAAAAGGAAATAGAAGAAGAAACTAACGAGGAGTCTTAATTTGGAGTGTTTCATCGAGAATTCTTAATCTAGAAAAGTGACCACAAACTTTTGATCCATATGGAGGCTTAAAATGACGGTCTTACTTAATTTAGGAGTTTTGTCTAAATTAAAAATTTGGATTAGATGAGGTATCTTGTTTTTAAATAGTTGCTAAAATCCCACCATTTTGAACTATTTTCATTAATAGTGAATATTTCTCCATTCTTTGAGTCTCTCTTTCTCATGGTTGAGGACCGGTTCTTCTTTTCCTTATATCAATTTAATAGCTTTCTCTCTATCAAGTGGTACAAGAACCTCTTTTTCTTTAGTCTGATTGCTAGTATATAACGATTAGGATGGATGCTACAGTAAAAAGAAATCAGGGCAGAAAATGCTCAATTTCATCAGAGACTGAGTGACTTTGATCAAGAGATGTGTGGCTGATGATTTCTGAGGGAACTTAACAAAATTAAAGGGCTTGTTTGCTAATTCTGCCTCATTGCAAAATGAATTTGAAGGAGAACTCAATTATGAGGGTAAGTAGGGTTGCTGCATGCTGCAAACATTTGTGAAAGTATGAGCTCTTGCGTAGTGCCAGTTTTAGGTATCTGTGTGAAAGATGGCAGTGCTGGTTTGACCTTCATCTTTCAAATGCACGCGCATATCCACAGTTTAACTCGATGGCAAGTTCATTTTTGGTGGGGTTGAATGATGTAGGACAAGTGATCATAAATTTTGATCAAGATAGAGTCTTTGATCTAGGTGGAGTTTGGCGTAGCTTAGATTTCTAGATTATTAGATGTCTAGCCATTAAATGGTTGCTAGATATTTCACTTTTTATTATTATAAACTGTTCTTATTCTTCTTCAATATTATGCTATTATTTGGAAGTTTATCATTCTAGAGTTTCCACGAAGAGTTCACAATCTCTTCTGTTGATATTATAGCTTTTAATCTATCGATTGTTGTACGCTCAAAAGCACGGGGAATGCTACTTCCATGAATGACTACGGTAAAATCTTATTAGGGCCATTAGTGTCGTTCTGCTTGTAAGTGAAAGTCTGAGTTGTTTTTTCCAGTGCCTTTTTCTTGCTAATGCTTATCACTTATCAAAGTTAGTAATACAGAAGTTGATAACTCAATTTTGTTGTCCATAGTTGAGATATTCCTGCACATTACCTGATATTCCAATGATGTTTTCTCGTAAAACAGAAGGGGATTCTGATGTCTCTGGTGAGAAGCTTCGAAGTGTACCAGATTCTATTTCTGAATCTTTAATTGCTCTAGCGGAAGATACATTGTTTACAGAAGTGATGAGTGAAAATCTTTTGACCGCCATAAAAGCGATTCGAAAGGTACATTTTGAATGTTGCTTACTCATAATAATATATGATATAGTTGACAGAATTCTGCGCTTTACTTGAGAACTGGATACTCTCAAAGAGCATATGATAGGGGTATGATTCACATTGACCAGCTCCAGCTGAGTGTTCTAACAAATGACGGTTGATTTCCATCATTTTGATTGCATAAATCTGACAAAAATGTAGGTCCTAGATATGCAACTGAATCATGCCTTAACTAGTAAGAATTTTTGATGTAATGAATGCTCCCTGTGTGCATAATTTTTATGTCTCTATTATAACTATTGAGGACATGTTGAGGATGATTTCCTTTTTTTGCAGATGGAGGTCAAGAACTATTGTGAGCCTGAGAGGGACTACAGTCAGCCTGAGATGGATGTCTATAAAGACCCACTCCAGGACATTATCTTCAAATTTTAGGTTGATCATATCCCGACCAATCTAGAATTTATAGTCAGTGGGTTCAAAGCGAGACCAGTACACGTACTCACACTTGTTTTGCCCTATCTTATTTATTTTGCTTCATGTTATGCACATATATAATACCAACATGTTAGTAATTTTATTTGGACTGTCGTCGCTGTATAATTTTGTACCATGCTTCATTTCTTCTCGTCAGGATATGTTCATAAGAGACTAATCTCTTTCTGCGTGTGTTTTTACATCTTATATGCAAACTGTTATGTTCCTCGTTATTTGTGTTTAAAATTTTTTAGTTTATATTGCAGATAATTACCTACCTTATTTTACGATTACAAATTTCACATTTTAGCGAAGGTTTCTTGTTGATATCTTTTGGATTATTTGATAATGTATAAGTTTCTTTACACTGTCGTGAATACATCAATATCGATGTATGGCTCCTTTTAGTATCATACAGTAGTCGTCACATAGTTTAATTTAACTCTCAAGAACCAGTAAAATGCCTAGGAATCTGTACATTAAAAACAAACATTCCTATCAAATAAAAGCTATATGTGTTTATTTTATTAGCATGAGAAGTAATAAAAATTTACCAGGATTAAAGGACAAAAAGAACAATATTAAGCATGAAGTGACTGTTTTTCTTCTCATTTAACTGTGATTAGTAATAGTAAGTCTGCAGCCGGCAAAAAACAATGAAGAAACTTAACGAGTTGCCGCGGCCAAATAAAGGAATTATCAAAGTGATTGGAAAATCCATTTGGGTGAAAAAGTTGCACTGTATATTTGAAGGCCAAATACATAAACTTTTTTCTTTTACTATTAAAGGTTAATTTTCTTTGGATGTGATGCAGAGAATGTGGTAATTTCCTGTTCATCCTTATGATACTGCTTATAGAGTATCAGTCGTAACTGTTGCAAAATCAGACTTACAATTATGGCACTAATCACAGGATAAATTTATCAGCCGACACTTTATATAGTCTAATCATAATTATTCTGGAATAGAATTTTTTTTTATGTATATTGGAAATCCATTTTTGGACATTTACTGTTAAATGAACGTATCGACTGTCTACTTCTCAAGTTTGAGAATAAATTTCAGCATTTTTATTTTCTTTTTATAAAGTCTCCATGGTGACTTTAATAGTTGAGTATGAAGGGGAAAATGCAGGTTAAATCAATTGGAGAATTAGAATGTATGAACCATATCATTTAAAAGTTTAGATGATTAAAGATCAATGATCAACACCACTTTGATACAGTAAAAGTCTATGCATGAACAACCCCCAAGGTAATCTCATACTAATTTATTAGAATTAGAATCGACATGCATGTGAATATAAAGAAAATATTTAATGAGGAATTTTCATAAAGTATTATAGTTAGAGTCTAATAACTATAGATTGCCTAATTATCATTTGTAGCTACTATTCAATTTGTTAACAGTTTGTATCACTGTTGTTCATAGTCGAACTCAAGACCTCCACTAACTAAGCAATCGCTCTAACCAATTAAGCTACAAGAACTTATTGCTCCCTTGTTTCAGTTCAAATCAATTATTCTCTTATTTCACGGATTTGATATAAAATTCAAATATAGCTACGAATTATAAATTTGCTGAAAGTATAGCTACGAATGACAAATATAGTGTATATATTTGATCTGTCGCGTTTAAACCACGTTGTGTAACTTCCTCTTGTATCTCAAACCAATAATAGCATTAGTTAGAACATACTACTTGACATTAGAAACTGTATTTGACATCGCCATTGTAATGAATTTGTATAGTATTAGTATATTTTAAATTATTGTAACATCATACGTTATTAATTTCACTTATTATGAACACAAGCTAAGTAATTATTTTTTAAGTGACTTAATATTAAAAAAAAAAATTTACATGTCAGTGAGTTAGATAAACTTTCATAGCTTAACTAGATTTTCCATGTTTCACACTCATGTAATTTCTTGGGAGAACGTTTTTCCTTACTGAATTGCAAATGTTACCGTGACATTGTTTGAACATCTGTTGTCATTACTAGTTTAATCAAAGTGTTTTCCAGAAACAAAATAAGAGAGAGCGGACCTAGCTTAGTGTTGTGATATATACTATTAACAATGGGTTTGGTTACCATCAAGTGATGTGGTGCAGTAGATGGGGCTGCTCCTCCCTTAACCAAAAGTCTCGAGTTCGAGCCCTGGGTATAGAAAAATCCTTGGTAGGGAGCGCTACCCCCCATGAGGCCTTACCCGGCGCTAATCCGAATATAGTCGGACTCCAATGCATGTACCGGACATCTGGTGGGAAACCAAAAACAAACAAACAATGGGTTTGGTTTAGATATGGTATTTATTATGAAATAATTATTTATTTTAGTTCTAATAAAGTTTTAAATAGATCATATATTAGTATGTGTCTATGCTTATATAGTAGATGATATAGTGTATAGAGTTTAGCTTATACACGGAAGATTAAATCATCGGTTCTCATAAGTAAAAGTTTGAGTTCACAATCTAATGATGGAATTGGACAAACCATCAGGAATAATTGTAGCACAAGATTAAATATAATTTATCTTGATTATGGGAATGGTTTAATTCCAACTTCTTGTGCTAGTACATTTTGTATGTATTGAACGGACCAAGTAAAGATAAGTATTTTATACTGTCTTAATAAAATAAACTCTCTAGCCACTAGATGTACTTATACTCTTAATCTTGATATAATTATTATTAGCTGTGCATATTATTATTGTTTTGATTTATTAAAAGGCGAGATTCTTCCATGAGTCAATGCCTGGTAAATTGGACAATAATAATGTACATTGACGAAGTAATAGTTAGTTGATTGAATCCATGTCTCGGTTTAGAGATTGATGATACACCTTTACGAAAGCTTATAAGTTTCATGTGTAAACCCGGCCAGTGGATTTTGTATCCGACACATGAAATAAGTTAAGTGAAAATCTAGAGGACATAATCAATAAATTAAATCCTTAATTTAATTGATTAGTATCTGAATCTTAATATGGGGAGTTAAATAAGATTTAATGGATGAATTTCGAAATAGAATAAGGAGTGCAATTATGAATTTTTAGTAGAATAATTCGTAATTAATTATGGTGGATATTAATTTCAAAATTATAAATTAATTCCAAAATTGGAAGCCTTGTTAATTAAATTCTGTGGTCCCTACTGTGCCTAAATAATAGGAAATAGAGGAATCCTTTTTCTGGTGGAAAAGAAAACCCAACAGGTTTTGGAAAAAGGTTTTACCCCTTAAAACTTGTGCTATATATACATAAGGTTTTCCACCTAGAGGAAGTAGAACATGGTGGCCGAAATTTTCAGCCAAGTTTTCCTAGAAATTTCGCCCACACGAAATTACTATTTTCGGATATTATTTGGATAACACAGTAGAAGACCGTTGAAGGTTCGGGAATCGTGATCGTGCTGATGATGGTAATTTAATTGAGTTGCTGTGGAATTAGAGGCTCACGTGACAGAGGAACTTTGTTCACGCTTCAAGAAGTAACTCGTGAAATTCCGTTTATACTAGTTGTCTAGATTACATGTGATTTTGCGATTGATCTTTATACTCCTTAATCGCTTTTGCGGTTCCTGCCTCCGTGGGCTCCTTCCGCTTTTGCGATTGATCTTCCGCATCGACCATCCGAAATTCCTATCTTTTCACCAACCATCCGAAATCACTCCGAGGCCCCCAGGACCTCAACAAAAATGACAAACAAGTCACATACCACCATCCAAACTTATACCAATCTTCAAAACACCTCAAACAACATCGAATCAACCAAAACACATCGAATTCAAGCCTAAGGTTCCAAAATCTTCAGAATTACGCTTTTGATCAAAAAGTCTACCAAACCACGTCCGAATGACCTGAAAGTTTGCACACACATCCCAAATGACACAACGTACATATTGCAACTTCCGGAATTCCATTCTGACCCCTATATCAAAATCTCACCTATCAACCGGAAAATGCCAAAATTCCAATTTCGCTAATTCAAGCCTAAATCTACTCCGATCCCCCAAAACTCATTCCGATCACACTCCTAAGTCCCAATTCACCTAATAGAGCTAACCAAATCATAAAATTCCAAATCCAAGATCAAATACTAAAAAGTCAAGACTGAGTTAAACCTTTTAAATTTAAAGCTTCAAGCTGATATCATCCTTCCATATCTATTCCGATTAACCTGAAAATCAAAACCGACGATTTACATAAGTCACAATACATAATACGGGGTTAGTCATGTCTGTGAACTGGCGAGCGAAGTGCAAAAGCTCAAAACGACCGGTCGGGTCGTTACATCCTCCCCCACTTAAACATACGTTCATCCTCGAACGTGACCATAGTTGTTCCAAAATCCAACAAGTCGTTGTATAACCTTACCATACAGATACTGGGGGGTGATCCCACGTCACCCTATCTAATATAGGTCCGATAACACAATGTAACTAAAATTTCGCAATCCAACCTACCATAAACCTTAGAACCACATTTCCACTTCTGAAATCATCTACAACATTAGAATCTCACATTTATACTCTGAATAAGCCCGAACCAGCTGTAATAACCCATACCTGCAACCTTCAGTGCAATTACATGACATACCACATAACTCAAACACTGATAGCGATAACTTCTAATCACAATAGTTGCTCAAAACATCCGAATTTCGATAATAAGCCTTTTATCAAATAAAGCCTCATTCCAATACTTTTGTATACCTTAAATGATAAATGAAACATGTAGAAAGTCATAACCACTCTTCAGATCAACCATTCGTGAAGCCACTTCTCGTTTGGCAAGGACCATGGCAATTTCTAAGCCGAACATCGATATTATCCTTCCAACATGCTGAAATCGAACACGTTTGTATTCATTATGGATCCCCACGATAACATCTAATCCAACACAACTACTCTGGTGACATGACACATCAATACAATTTAAAGCCATTACTCGTGCAATCCGCACACCAATAAGCAACAATCCGAACATATTCAAATCATGAAAATGACTCAAATGAGAGAGCCGTACTGAAAGCTCACTAGTACCACCACAACACAATGCTAGGAACCCGTCACACATCGTAGAAACAGAACACACGAATCTAACCTGAAGGGCTATACCTCCATATAACTTCACTGCAATGCGCGACCCTATCCAAACACTGGTCCGCATGAAACACCTCAAGTCACTATGCTGAAAATCGACAACCACTGGCAATTTCATGTCTAG